GGGTAAACTCTGGTCATTTTTAAGTCAGTGGGAGATTTACCCTTCAGTTAATAGGACCAGAATATTACTGCTCATCTATCACTCTACTCATTGTTGAGATAGGCTTGAAACCGTAAAATGGTAGCTGGGACAGAAGGTTTGACACCATGTTTTTAAGAAATGACAGGTTACTCAAGGTCTTCCTCACAACCTCTGAGTGTTACTGAAATTTGGGTCATCAATTATGGGTTTGCAGAATCAGATCCAGTTTCTTATCATTTAAATGCTGTATGTTTTAAGGATAAAATTGTTTCAGCTGCTCACTCCAGAATTTCTATCATAGTATAGTGAGCTCTTACTGTGAAGGTGTGCGGCTCCACAAAGCTGCTTTTGTTTTGTAAGGCCGTGGTATTGATAAGTGGATATTGAAAACAAATATTTGTAACTCATTCTTTAGGGAATAGAAGCACATTTTTAGAAAAGCCAAGGAAAGCCCACTTCCTCAGTAACTGCTTGTAAGTGGTGAACTAAACCCTTGTGTTTATAAACATGTTCTTATTTCAACTGTGATGTCAACGATGTATGCTTGCAGATAGGAAAGATACTATACAAAGGAGGAATTTTGTAAGTCTGAACAAGTTAAACCTGGGTGAAAAGGTCCTATTGCTTCAGCCAGTTTCACTGTAATAAAACAAAATCTCTCCTGGTCTACTTCAAATACCAAGATTTAAACCAAGGTGATTATGGTTAGGTAAATTCTTTACTCTGTGATGTAGCAAAAACAAACACTCCTCTAGTTTATCACAGGAGGGGCAAGAACCTTTTTCTGGATAGTAGAAGAATGAACAATTATGGTACAACACGCAGAGAAAGAATGCCAACTGATACCTAAAACAAATGAAAAGGAAGATTCAACCACCAAAGAAGTAATGCTCAGTCAGAATTGATGAAAAGGGGACTCTTGCTATGTTGCTGGATAGAGCCAGAACAGAAACAGCCAGAAGCACTGAATGGATGGGAAGTCTGGCATCAGTGCCCAGGACTGGAGCCTCACAAATACCACTCAATAGACCACAGTTTAACAGTTCTTCCATGCTGTACACAGAAGAGCTAAACATAGGTGCCAGAAGCTGATTTTGCTCTGGAAATTTTCTTCCCATCACTTTATAATCCTCACCCCAAACTCAGAAGAATCACCTAGAAATTACACTAGTTCTCTACCAACAGAAGAAAGAAGTAACTCTTCTCCATTAGCTACCACATAGATAATCATTTTTGGAATACACACCTCTTCGTACATCACACAGTCAGAACTCTCTAGGAAGTAATGGGCATGGGAACCACGTGACAGGCCCCTTAGGTCACTGAATATTTGGTTCACAGGTGCATAAAAGGCAGTGAGACTAACCATTCCTCAAATCCTTCATTTTTTTTTCAGAATCCTTAAAGGTGTGAGATAAGTGGAGGCACAAGTAGTTCAGTGTGAATCATAACCAAAAATCTAGTTACTGATAAGTAACTTTCTTTTTCCTTCTAATATTGTTGCTGTAGATCCCGACACAAGAGACTACATGGCTTTAACAAGCATCTGAGTAAGAGAGTCTACAGAGTGTTAAAGATTTTGGAAGATCATTGGATTTGGAAGCCAGATCAGGATAGCAATGCTGGATTCATTCGTAAACTGAGTTCCACATAATCAGCCTTGCATATCTTGGTAATGGAAGCAATTTTCACTTATGGCTTCCATCACATTAGTATCTATGTGCAGATGTTTCTTAAAACATATTATAAAGACTGGTTTTAAACTTATCAGAATGTGATCCAAGACCTTCAAGTTATGAAAAACCTGCAAGGTCATAATAAGTACTTATTTATAATTTAATCCAGTGAGACAATTGCTAGGTACAAATTGATTTATACTATGTTCTTACCAATATACTTCAAATAGGCTAATATGACAGTAAGGAAAGACTCCGTTTCCACATGATAACTAAGGGCATGCATTCCTTGTACATCTTAGAAATTAGCATTATCCAATAGGTTTAGGGCACAGGGAATACAGAAATTAGTTAAAAGAGTTCACTTAAAATCAGTCTAATTGAGAACTCATGTGACAACAGAGCTCCTTGTAAAACATTATATAAGGAGGTTATATCATGAAACTTTGGACCTCAACCTATTTATTCATATTCGTACTAATAAAATCTTCAGAAATTAACAGCATGAAGAGCATTCTCCTAGAATCTCAACAGCGATTTCATTAGCTTGGAAAATATGAAATTCAAATCCTAAAATTTGGTGTTACTTGAATGTACGTAAAGCAATAGATCAAGGCCTTAAAATCTTTTTCCTGCAGGATGAATAGAAACAGGTTTTTTGATTCTTTTTTTACCTGGATGGGTGGCACGCACAAAAGATATCGGCCAATTGTTTTTTTTTAACGGAAATCAAGAATAGTCCAAACTATCTGAAATACTACAATGAATCTAAATTTGATCTTCCAGAAAACATCACAGGCTACAATAAAATTTGAAAGATACAAGCAAGAATCAAATCCAGTCCAACATCCACATTTTGTGTACTTTCCTCACTTTTCAGGAAGATGATGTCTTGAACCTCCCAGGGAGCAATTAACTAACATACAGTCTCAACTGGTCAAGCAAGTCAAGAATCTATGGCAGCATAATCAGCTACAGTGGTAAGAAAACAGTCTGAGATTGAGACTGATTAATTCAACTAAGAAATGTTAGCACTAATTTATGAGCTATGTGATACACACCATGAAGGACCAGAGTGCCTGAATCCAATGCTCTTTCATAATTTGGAAGAAATGAATACTTAATTGTCCTAGGGGCTGTACAAACAGAACAATAGAAAATCCCCTGCCCCAAAGAACTTCAATTGATGTATAAGGCAATATACAAGGGGACGATACAAGAAGCTCAAGAAACAGCTAGACAATGCTGGTCAGAATAATAGGAATAACTTTCAAATAATTTACCTGAATTCCTTGTAGTCATCATGGGAAAGGACAATTTTAAAGAAGATTTTGAAAGACAATGATACATGAATTTTATGGAAGCTCATAGGGAGCTTTTCCTATGTGTAATAAAATCATTCTTCGCTGAGCAGAACACCCCTTACTTTTAGATCAAAACTAAAAGTAGCTTCTATTCTTCTTTTGTGGCAGTCTTTGAAGAGTTTCATCTGTAGAAGAGTTAAGACCACAGAATGGGGCACTGGACCTCTTGCTGAGGGTGTCCGCTGAATATTTTGTTATCATGTTGCCCTTTTCAGACAGATGAAGATCCAGTGAGTGAAACCTTTTTGGGCTCAGCATGCTGATTAAACTAACATTCCTTCAGAGGGATGAAGTAAATAACAGGAATATATTTGCAATTCAGTCCAGCAGATGACAGCTACAGACCTCTTTCTTTCAGAAGACACCTACATTAAAATTATACTCCTGGTCTGAAAAAAAAGACTGTTTTTCAAAACATTAACTCTGCTCCCAAAAACCCCCTCCTCTCCCAATTTGCACCTTAATCTAGTAAGAAATATATATTCAGTCCTTGATGCTCATGAACAAGATAGGAATACAGAAAATATACTGAGCGATATGAGGTGGAATCTGTTATCAAGGCCTTTCTATTCTTTCAGTTAATTCACACAAGTCTAGGGGTGCACTGATAGAGATTTTTTGGGCCAATAGCAATGGCCACTTTTTAACGAGCCATATTAACCAATACCAATCTGATTGCCAATATCTAACCTGGCAGTGTCTGGCTGGTAAGTCTGTTGTGGCCGATTGAGGCAGCTGTGGTAAGGAAGCGAGTGGGGCCTGGGCAGGGGCTGCCCAGCTGGGACAGGGCAAGGTACGGGATGGAACTGTGAGGGGCTCCACACACCCCAGGAGGGCATGGGGGGCATGCACCCCCAGATCTGTGTGTGGGGCAAAAGCTGGTTGCTGCTGTGAGCTGGGTCCAGGGCTGTGCTGAGCTCTTCCTGGCAGGGGGGCTGGGCCAGGCTGCATTCATCCCAAAGTTTGCCATAGCCCTCCCAACCCCAGCACTGCCACCTGCTCCCCACATCCCCCAGATATGCTGCTTGCAGCTCTGTCCCCCAGCAGGCAGTGCTTGCCCCACTCCCACCCCCTCCCTCCCCTCTTTTTCCCTCTCCCCACCCCTTGTACCACAACAGACTTATCAGCCGGACCTGGCTGCTCTCCACGCTGCCTGGCTGCGTGCCTTGCTACTAGTGTGCTGTGCACTGGTTGCACACATGCATGGCACATTTATTGGCCACGTAAATCAAAAAAAAGCTGATTGCCTATGCTGTCAATTTTCCTTATATCAGTGCCAATCTGATACGGGACCAATGTATTGGTGCACCTCTACACAAGTCTATGGATTCTCCTTCCCTTTGACATTTCAGTGTTGAAAACAGAAGATGCTGCTAGGCATAGCATGCTCATGCAATCAGATGTGCAAAAAGTAACATTTGAAAGGCACAATAAACATATACAACAATACTTTATTTCTAGGGATCTTAGAATAACATTTAAATATAATGAAAAATGACTGCTTTACACAACAAGGATCATCTGATGTTAACTAATGTAACATATGCAAAGTTTTGATCTACTTCTCTCACTCCCATCATTTTGCAGATTAGACCTTTTATTTTTTCACATTGTTTTTTGATGTTTTTGTCAGTATAATCACTTCAAAAATGCAAACTTTTTACTACTGCTTTAATTGTTCCTTGTTCCAAGACTCAGAAAAACACCAGAGCAGAAAGAAATGAAATTCTGGTAGGGTGTTTAAAAGCTGTTTTTGTCTTTTGCCAGAGTATCTACCGACAGGAAGAGAACTCCCACTGGGCCCCAACTAGAACGCATAAAATGGCTCTCTCGTAATGATAATAGTGGAGGAGAACCTATAGCTAAGGTGTATTACCTTAGTAGCCAGGTCATAGCTTTCATGTCAGAGGGGTATTTCAGAAAACCAAAAACCATTCCATACATTTTGCACTTCTTTATTATGAAACCACAAAGCACTAATAGACAGATTATAATCTTTTGGCTAACAAACAAAAATACATGTAAATATTTCCTATAAAAATACGTCCCTTACTCATTTCTACAGACGACAAATACAAAGCCAATAAATATTCCAATTTTACAGCATATATTACTTACCACCTCGCCACTAGAAAATACATACTGCTGCATAGGAGGATGGTAGGAGAAAAGCATTTTTTTCCCCAGGACTGTAAAAACTACTTATGAGTATAAAATTCTTCACCAGACAGATCATAAAATGTACACAGATTTTGTGGCAGATTTCTCATGTCTTCCCCTATGCTTCTCAATTTCTTACTGTGTTAGTGTGACTGACCTCCAAAACATACAACAATGGATTAAAATACTGGTTACTTTATGGGCCATGCAAAACTTACATACAAAATACATGCAAACTAAATACATGAATGTTAATAATATCCACAAAAAGTATAATTTAAATTAATACTTTAAAAGCTACATCTCTATTAATTCTGATCAGCAAGTAAGAAGGTTCCTTCCCTGTCTCGATTCCCTACTCTCAGCTTCCAGGCATTTTCTACTTTTGCATTCCCCATCCTCTCAAGAGATCGTGTAGCTCTGTTAAGCCCCAATCCCACAAAATCATAAGCATGCAAATAGATCCAGGGAGTTCTGCTGTACTACTAACATGCTTAAAGTTAAGCAATTGAATATGTCTTTTCAGGACTGTCTTAACACTGCTTTAGCTTAGGAGAAAGGAGCTGTCCAAACCCAGCTTAGCACTAGTTAATACAACAGTGTAGTTCATAGACCCAAAGATGGAAAGGCTATAAACATTTCAGTAACCATTCAGTGAAGGTTGCACTTGAGCAGAGATGCAACTCCTTTCTGAAGAACCCTGGTCTTAAAAACAGCAACTCTCCCCCAGAACAGAGTGGCAAAATGCACCAAGGACAGACTGTCAATGATGTTATAACAAGTATAGCCCTGATTCAAGTCACACCTACCAGGTCTCTGCAGAAATGACTAAATGTAAAGGGTGAAAACAGGCATGAAATAATTTGAAGGGGGGGCCGGGCAGAGAAAACTGCCATTGCCCAATACTAAATTTTAGTTTAGAGAGAATGATGACCTTATTAATGCTAGAGATGCAGTTTTACCAAGAAAATGGGAACAAAATGAAATGAGAGTTACTTGTCTTCACAGAGGGAAAAAAAGTCTAAAAAAAATTACCCAGGACGATTACACAGCAGCCTGCTGAAGGAGGAAAGGCACCAGGAAGTATGCAAATACTAAGTGAACATGGCCCTGAAGGACACCAGAGAGCATAAGATTCTCCTTTTACTATGACATCGTATGTTTGCTGGCAAAGCAAATTTTGAGGCTGAGGTCTTCTAATAATGTGGAAGAACAAAATTTCATCTTTAAAACTGTAAGCATGCAGATGCTGTCTCTGAAGTTTCCCTGCCATAGCTGTTAACTAGACCATGGAGCTTGCTGTTACTGAAAACATTATTGCCCTTCAAACTTAAGAGACTTTCTTCAGTACCTCAGTTGGACTCTCCCTGAGCTGGTTTGCTGAGAGTGATGGAGAGCTGTCTGCATCCTGGAAAAAGCTCCCACAGAGATAGTGAATTTCATGATACAATAACAAACATCTTCCCTTATTTACTCCCCATGGTTCATCAGCCCACACTTAACAAGAAAATATACAAATGTTTAGCACTATGGTGAAGCTCTCTGTAAAAACAGTACTTGATACATTTATAGAATGAAATACAGGAGTGCAGATAGGACTAAATGATGTTATGTGACTGCAGCACATCCTTCTCCGATGGGAATAAATAATGGTAATCTAACTAGACCATGGTAAACTAAACAGACCATGTTCCACCTTCCTTCTAAGCAGAATACAATCCTGCAGACTCAGTTTAACCAAGGCCAGAACCGTCTTTGTCCAGAACTCTGCATGCATCTTTCAGCATGGAAATGGCACATATGAAATCCATGTTCTTAAGGCAAGAGAGGCATATAAAAGGGCCCATGCTTCATGATATATTCTGGCTGGCATCACATACACCCAGTAACCGAATGAAGACATTGGGGATATTCATGTTAAATGATCTGTAGAAAAACTGTTGTACAAGTTTGCCACAGCCTGGGCAAAAGGCCAAGCTTTCCTGACAGGCATGTAAAGGTTGGTTGATGAAGTTGCAATATTGATGGAATCCCTGGCAATCCTTGTGAACAGCATCTGGAATGCTTCTCATCAGTAAGGAGATGAGCTAAGGAAACTATAGAGAGGTTCACTTCTGTTGATCTAGAGCAAAAAGCTTTGTCTTTCCCTTTGGGAAGTTGTGGTGTTTCACTTGGTCTGCAAGTGACAGGCAAGACAATCCATTCAGGTGTAATTTCTGCCCAAGTTTCAGAAGCAGAAGCTACTTCTTCGGTTTCTCCAAGATGTTTAGGAATTTCCCTCGAGTCATTTCTCTAGCTGAAATGCAAGGAAAAAGAAATTAATAGATGACTTCCTGAGGTCCCTTCCAACCCTAATTTTTCTATGATTCTATGAAAACAAACAATTAAAATGAGGTAATTTGTGGTATTTGACCAGAAGGTATGATTCATTTAGAGCTGTACACCTGTGCTAACAGATAACCCAAGGATTTCTTTTTTTTTTAAACAAAAAAATAAATCTACACCACAGCTTGAATTCTGGACAGTCTGGAAAATGTGGGCATTGGGTAGACATTTCAAAGCTCAGCAACAATCTTTATGAGCAGTCTCATTACATACAATCAACACTTTCTATTTTTACTGTAGATAGCCTCAAGCTCATGTAAAATCTCCCTCTTCATCTTAGCACTATCAATCACTGAATGGTGTAATCCACAGCTCTATCACTCTGTCTCAGTGCAATTGTTCCAGGATTTTATAATCCATCAGAAATTACTAAACTCTACCTCTCTCTATTTCAGGATTATTGGTCCCTAACATGCTATGATCTTTAACAGAAATTAGACAGCATTTTCTCTCTTCTTTGGCACTGCTAGTCCCTGGATGCTGTAATATAATGGAGTTTATATTCCCTCAATGTAGTTCATCTATGGATGGTGTAATAAAGTAGAGTTTATAGAGCTTTGGTCTTCTCCCTCTCTGCATTGTCAGTCCTTCGATGTTTAATACAGTGAGGCAAGGTTTATGCATCTCTCTCTCACTCTTGGCACCATCAATCTCTAGCTGCTGTATTAAAAAAGGGTTTATGCAGCCACTTTCCTACCTGAAACATTTCTGACTTGTGAGCCCAGGCTTTGGCACAGCAACCCTAATACTATCTTTGTCCCAAAACAAGGATAAAAATATTTCAAATCTGCAGCATTAGGGAAACAGACCTGGAGAGATGTGCTCTTTATATACTTTCTTCTCAATTTCATTTCTTTTAAACAAAGGTTTCAATGAGCTTTGTGCTTCAGGATGACATGAGGGCTCAATCTCTATAGAATCCATTCTATTCTAAACCACTCTTCAGAAAGGAAAAACAAGTGACCATACTAATATCTGGCATGATGGTATTTTCTGTGACACTACCACTTGTCCAGTTAATGTGAAATAAGTCAGATTCTGACAAACACTCATCATTTGGTAAAGACATTGGGTCACTACTGACCTGGATCATTAGAAACTGTGCCCAAAAATGAGACTTCCTATATCATTCCCAATTTCCTAAAATGATCCAATCTTGACTTCTTTGCCTGAAATAAAATTGAAAGATCCAGAAAGAAGCAAGATGCTTCTGCTAAAATGATCAGCAGCGAACTACTTAATGCTGACTGATAAATTCACAATAGTAGGGTTACAGAGTCAACATCCCATTGAAATGGATGGGGTGTATCACAGTCGTCAGGCCTCTTGTTTCCAGCTGTCTTTTGACTCAGACAGACATTACCACAGTTGTTATATTTGGTTCATGTTTTCTACTGTGAGGACTACAAACTTTTAGATTTTTAACAAAGATTCAGGAGCACAATCCCAAAGTAAAAGGTAAATTCCAGAGCAAATTCCATGCCTGAAGGGATTGCAAAATACACAGGGATTTCTTTGTAAGAAAAAACAATCTTGTGTCTAAAGAACCGAATTGGGATTCAGATTACCTAGGGTTCATTTCCAGACATGTTCCTGATTCACAATGCAAGCTGCTCAAGTAAATTGCTTACTCATTTTGAACCTCAATTTCCCCGTCTGCAACATAGGCATAATATATGTCCATTTCTCAGGGTGTTTATGAAGCTTAAATTGTTAATATAATACTGATAAAGTGCTTTGAGACTCTTGGATGGAAGATGCTGTGGAAGGGCAGGGGGTGTTTGTTATTTTCCCAGGAATTAAATTATTATGCATAAATAAGCCAAGAACATGATTAACAAAAATGCGAGTTCAGTCTGAAACACATTCTGCAGTACAACCAACTCCCTGACGCCCCTACCTCAAACCAGCCCACAAAACAGGGTCATAAAATACCATTGCGGAGAAAGGACAAAGTCAAACTAAACCATTATCAGCTGACAGAGTGGAAAGTTTTCCTGAGTGCCAGTCCCATATAGGAGATATACGAATGTATGACAATTCCGTTCCCCCAAAGAGGGCTGCACCCTATAAATCAGGCACTGAGCATAGACTCCTTCTGTGCTCTGACTGGAATTACTGTAGGTTGGGGGTTGCTCCAGAGCACGTGCCCTCCTGTTCACTTGTCATCGGAGATGTTAACATTTCTGATTAATTCACAGACCTCTCATTTTATTCTTCATTCCTTTATCCTTGCTATCCTGTTCTGCTGCAGCTTAAAGATTCTTACCGACCTGCTACAATAATCACCACCCGCTCTCCCCCCCTCCAAACCTGGTGAAATTGTTTAGTGATGCCAACCGCGCTTTTAATTTGCAAGACATCAGACACAGAGGTAATTTATACCAACATCTGTTCATTTCTGACTTCTGAAACAAACTCGCACATGCTGCTACAAAATCCCATTAGGAGCAGGAGACAGCCTTCTGCTATTCTGTATTCCTCTTCCACACACACACACACACACACACACACACACACAC